ACATGCTACCACCAGGTGATGGACCTTCTCGATTCTGCGTTCCCGGTAATGCAGGAAAATCCTCCGAGCTCATTGTAAATTCGCTCGATTCGGATGTTGGTTGCTTTACCATTCCAACTGTAACATACACAAACAAAAATTTCATCAACAAAATAATTTTCGTGTAGTCATCTATATTAAATATCTGAAAAAGACCTAAACACACACACACACGCACACGCGCGCGCGCACACACACACAAATTGCATTACAGTATTGTATTTTGCAATTTTATAATACTTTAATCAAAAGTATAGTTATTTATCTTATTTTAAAGTAATCCTGATGAAAATTTTTCTCAGAATTTTTATATAATTTTTTAAGAATTTTTATATAATTTTATAACTTTCTCACATTTTTTATACAAATTGGAACATTTCTCAGAAAATCTACATCTTTTCTCAAAAGTTTTCATATATGTTAATTATGAAATATCATAAGATTTCTAAGATTTAATTTGTAAGTATAATTTCTGATGAAATGTTATAAAATCTAAAAAATTTGAAAATATTTATTTTAAATTATGTGATGAGAGATTTCAAATTATTTCAGAATTCAGTTGCGTGAAAAATTCTTAGAGAAGATGTAAACTTTCCGAATATTTTGGAGTATTTCTGAAAAATATTCCAATTTATATAAAAAGTATGAGAAAAATTTTCACCAGGGAAATTATAAATTCACAAAATTATGTAGAAAGTTTTCTAATCAAGAAAAAGATTCGAACCAAATGTGGTGCATTATGATTATTTTATGTTGCGTATATTATAAAAATCTGATTTTGTTTTCTTGGCACTAACCATAAGGCTGTTTCCCTGGCATAGGACTAGGTTGCGGCATAGAATCACCTTGACCTCTATTCGTTAGGGAGGGAAACTCCGAGAGATCTAACAGAGGTGGAGTACTTGTATCTCCACCACCTCCACTCCCAAAAACAGAGTGGAAATTGTTAACCGCACCTTGAGATCCGTAATTGCGACTTGGAGGTAATCCGAAACTGCCCATACTACCCATTGGATTTGAAGCTCTACAATACAGATGGAAATGATTGCGCACACACACACGCCCGCACACACACACAAACACACACACACACACACACACACACACACACACACACACACACA